CTGCTATTTTACATATACGATTTTCTGCTAATAAAACATTTCGAGCAACAAGATCACGATGAATACACTATCAAGTCAACAGCTTTTAAAATAGACTACAGTTTATGATTATAATAGTTATTTAATTGTGATTTTTTTGTTTTTGTTTTGAAATAAATTTTCTTATTTTTCTTTTTTTGATTGTTCATTAAGATAAAAAGAAAAAAGGGATTTTGTTTAGATGATAATTAATAGTGGATAAATTATGTTTCGATTAACTCAGTGCGTTCTTAGAGGATCGCATCATGCGATTAAAGAATCATTTTTATATTCAAGTAAGATTGAAATTCTATGAGATTATTTGGTTTTATTCTTTTTTTTTCTAAAGATGTTCGAATGTATCTATCAGATGCTTATCAAGCATTTGATAAATGGGATGAATCATTATCAAGTGAAATTCTACAAAAAACAAATATTAGTATGTATGAACAGATTAATTGATAAAATTGATTCTTTTCTTTTTTTTTTTTGTAAAGGTAAACTTTTGATTGATGTTGAACATAAATTAATTAGAAAGAAATATATTAGTTCACTCGACATTAAAATTGTAAGTATTCATATCAATGAATAGAGCTTGTCGGGTCTAAGATTTGCGAACTCAAATCATACTTCTAATTTTTTTTAATTTAAATTTGATACATCTTAACGATGATCGTATAATAATCAAGTGATCATTAGTAAAGCACATAGGATTGCTCTCGAACTTGGACTCGAGTGGATTTGGATCGAAAATTTCGGGTTCGATGAGCTCTATATTTGAATATATTTGTTGTTTTTAGCTTGCAGCGAAACTGACTCATGCTGAAACGACTGAAGATCTTAAATTGGCAGAAACAATTTTAGAAAAGTAACAAAATAGATTTTTTTTAATGTTTGTTAGTCACTTGTTCGTGATTATCTTGATCTTGGTCAAAAAGAACGTTTATTACTTATTTTACATGATAAAGTTAATAGAATTAAAAGCGAAATTATTCATAAAGTTTTATGATTTCATTTGTTAGGTTAAATATGGAATTTTTCTTGATCGATTTCCAGCTAATCTTTTATTAAATGCATTTTTACTTGAAAAAAAATACAAAAGTAAATATCAATTGAGTGTTTTTTTTATTATGTAGAGATTCTAAAATAGAAGCTGCACAAGTTTGTATAGATC